CAAAAGGCATAAAAAGCTGACACGGGACTCCGTTTTTTCCCCTATTTTTTGTGCTCCCTTCCTTTTTTTGAGGGTTTTGTTTGCTGGCCTCCTTTGCATAACTGGCTACAAATTTTCCTTAGTGCCCTTAGCGCCGCCAAAGTTGGCCAAGTTTTGTCTGAAGGGTTTTCCAAGTGATGGAAACGAAATTTTTGACACGCGCCCTGAAATTTGAAGAGGTAAAGCCGCTGTGGGATTTTAGAAAAAAGTTTTGGGTCAAAAAATGTACAAAAAAATAATGTCGCCAACTAAAGTTTTCAGATTTGAAGCCACATACTCTTAAATTGCATTTGGGAAACTATTTCAGATAAGTTCGACTTAAATGTGCATATTCCATTTCAATTTCGCCCATTCGCCATTTGAAAAGCATTTCAAATAATTTCCAACTTTTTCCTTTGTCACCTAAAAACTTTCTCCTTGAAGGCAGGAACTTCAGCCAACACATTCGACCATCACTTATTGTTACTGTCGAAAATTCCTTTTCCACATTTCCATCGAACTTGGCCGCCCACACACACAAACTTAGACAAACTGCTAAATCCTTTTGGCCGTCGAGAAGGGGAAAAAGAGAGAGAAAGCGCGGTGGGAGCAGGAAAGCCAATCTCTTTTTAAGCTGTTCAACAAAAAAACTTTCACTTTGTTGCCCAGGACGATCAACGCCAGAAGTTTTGTCCTGCGGGAGCGAGGGGGGGAAGGAAAGTTCTAAAAAGTTCCGGTATTAAGTCCATTTAACCCGCCATTGAACTTTACGCCTCAACGACCAGCTAATGCAACAAAAACTACAAAACCAAATCTACGTAAGACCAACAACCGGACTTAAAAACTAAAAAAAAGAGGGAAAAACTATGGAAACCAAAGGACCAGCAAGGAGAACAAAGTAAATGAGCAGCCTGCCAAGGGGATGAGGACGAAAATCGAGCAGGCAAATGTGCAAAAAAATGGAAAATGAAACGAAAAACTTTTGTGGCAACAGAGTTTTCCCTGTTAGCCGTGTTCGTTTATTTTTTTTCAAATTTTTTTTTAGCAACCTGCAGGGAAAAAAGATTGAAGAATTCAATAAAATAACGCTTTCCATCTGGGCAAAGTAGTAAAAGGACGAAACTAAAATAAAGTTTTCCCCGTGCGTCGCGGCAAGGACAATTTTCGTGAAATTTGTACAGCCACGCCCCCCTGAAGCGCCCGCCCCCTAGGATCACGAGGTTCGCACCACCACCACCATTTGCCATTAAAGTTTAACAATGGACGCTGGCGCGTGTGAAAGAAGGGAGCGAAGGAGCGAACGGAAGTAAAAGAAACCGCAAAAGTATCTCAAGAAGGAACAGAATAGAAAGGGGAAGCGGAAGAGAAGGGGGCGTGGCATCGGCGGCCATTTGTACTTAAACTGATCTATTTTTGTTGTAGCTCAAGTTTCTGCCCCAGCATCTGTATCTGTATCTGTCTCCATGTGTAAGCGTGCGTTTATCCTGCTTACAGTTACACAGATAAACATTTTCGTTAGGGACAAAAATGCACCAGGATGAAAATAAGTAGGGGGGTTTTTGGGGTTAAGCATTCTCGAGAAACATCCTTGGATCCTTGCATCCTCCCACATTTTGCGTGTGACTTGTTTGAATGCATACTTTGTCTGGCGCTAGCAAAATGTTAAATTCACAGGCAGCATATGCTGCAGTGGATGAAGAAGCCAGTCAGGGGCGGACTTAGAAAGGGGTATATTAACGGAACTATAATTTTTAAGATGGTATATCTCTATCGGATTGATTCCCTGAAACTCCTTTATTTAAACTTTAAGCACCTGCGTAAGTATTTTTAAATATCCCTGTTTTTTAATATTAGTAATCTTGATAAAATGACTCTTTAAAATATAATAACTGCCTTTATAGTGCCAACAACTATTTTTAATACTAATCCCATTTTTAAGATACCCAATAAGACCCCCTTGAGGTACCTCCTTGAGCATCCTTGGGCATTCCGCCACTGCCTTCGCCTCGCACAACTTGCTATTATCGCAAGATAAATGCCAGTTCCACATAACTAAGACTTACCCAGAGTCCTGGCTCTGCTGCAGCTTGCTCCAGCTGTTGGATGCTGGTTTTCAGGCTGCTTGGCTGAGTCCAACAAAGCTGCTAAGCCGCCAGCAAGGATAAGCAGTGGAAAAAGAACCAAGGCGCAAGGGTTTCGAGGAGGAATCCAGAGGAACCTACAGCGGGGCAACCTGCATAACTGATGGCTCCGCCAGATGCAGGCCTCCCCCAGGATCTGGGGCTTGGATCCGGGAACGGTGGCATTTGCGGCATCTGCACCGAGGTCCTGGACCGGCATAACTGCGCCTTGGAATTTTAATAGAGAAAATTTCAACAACAAGCCGGAAAAATAAGAGCGAATAGAATGGCGGGGGGAAAGAAATTGCACGGCGTTTTATTCTGCGCTGGTAATAAAACTTCAAAATGAAGTTTAGAAAACTTTTTAAATGCCTTTCGCCCAAGTCGATGGACGACAGGCGGCGAAGTAGGGGCGTTTCTTCTGCGAGAAACGAGGACTAGGAACTCCCCCCAATAATTTAACCACGCACAAGGGGCACACCCACTGAAAAGGAACAAAAAAAAATAAATAAAACAGGGCCATAATAATGATGATGACGCCTACAACACAACGCCCACGAACACGCCCCGTTTTGGCAATGGCTCCGTAGGATCCGCGCGAAATGCTAAACGGGCCCCAAGGACCAACGCAGCCAGGACACACGGCTCGGCTCGGCCAGCTTTTTGCAAATTTACGATTATGATTATTACAAGTCGACGTTTTCCGTTCCAAGGATTCTCGTGTACACGGTGTGGGAGTGAGTCTGACATTCGGACAGCTGCTGGCAAGGAGGCTTTCCCAGTCTTCCCCAGCCTTCCCCAATCTTCCCCAGCTTCCCAATCCTCCCAAGTTGAAGAACAAGTGCAAAAGAATGCGTCAAGGCATTTTAGCACTTTGCCCCCGGACGAAGTCCCAGCTGAAAGCCAGAAAATGTACATATAGCCTGGCCAAAGTTGTGCCAAAGTTATTACAACTCTTAAAGATGCCACGGGGCCAGGATGTATCTTAGGGATGTGCTGCCTCATGCTCACCCTCGAGTTGTGGGTGGTTGGGCGGAGACATTGACCTCCAGCGGGTTGTTGGACAGCGTCTGGAAATCGGCAAATTCCATGGGGCATAATAAACGTAAGATAAAAGTCAAAGAGGGACAAAAATTATATAATAAACTGTACAACGAAATGAAATTATTGCAACGAGGGTGGGCTGAATATTACTTCTGGGGAGTAAGACAGGGCAGAAGGACGTTATCGGGGGGCTTTGCTGTACTGCTCTCGAAGCTGGTGAATAAAAGTTTGATGTGCAATCATTTCGCGGAGTTTGCAAAGTTTGTTTGCAGGTTTTGGTTTTCGGAATACTCTTAATGGAGATGGAGTTTTGGTAGTCTTGGGTTTCCTTTATTTATTTTGCAGGTGAATTATTGAGGTTCTTTTAAATATATGTGTAGCTTGAAAAAACTTCAAAGTAATTGAAAATATATTTTTCATGCATTTTTAGAAATATCATTTTGTGATACTGAATTAAAGCATTTATTTTACATATTTAGAAAATGGAACTTAAACGACTTTTAGTTGCAATTATTTTGTATGTTTTATTTACTTTCCCAGCTTAAATATAAATAAAGCTTTAGAGTAGAGTATCTACTTACAGTCATGCAAAATAATGTTGTATCTGGCTTGTTTTTAAAACTTTAAACATTTTGTTACTGGGAAGGGAGATCGGGGAAAAAAGCGGTTCTCTGGATACTGTTAAAATAAGTCTGGAGTTCTGGGCTGGGTTCTGTGGACACACCTACACACCGGCACATACACAGGTACACCAAGGGGCACAACAATAAGTCAGGAATGCAGGTGGGTGAGGGGGTCGCAGGGGAGGTGGAGGTGGAAAGGTAGAGGGCGCTTTGGGCTTATCAAGTTGGGCGCATCAAATTCTCAAAAATAATATACCAAATCATAAAAGCATGACGATGAGCAATTTACCAAAGCCAAATACTCAGAGACGAAACAAACACGGGAAAAAATGGGACGTCGTATTGAGGGAAGAGATTCAAATCAAGAACGTGCCCCAAAAGAAGAAGAAGTGCCCCAGTCAAGGCGATTATGTACGTATAAATAGGTATATTTTCGGTTGCGTTGTAAAAACAACAAACTAAATGATTAATGATGAACCGCTTTTGTCTGCCCTTGCCAGCAAAGCATTTCATTTTCACTTTTCCTCCGCTCGACTGCTCATGCCCCACAATTGGAAATTGAAAATGTTATTTTTCAACTTGAACTTCGATTGCTGGCATCTCTCCTCGCTTTCCATTGCTGGCAGTAATCACTTTGTCATTGCCATCATTTTTCAGCATCAATTGTTTAGCGACTCGACATAAATTCACTTCAGAACCCGAAAGAGAACCCGCTCAGCGGTCTAATGGAAATTGAGAGATACAAGAGCCGAAGCCGAGCAGTCTGCATCCGTCGAAGGTCCAAGTGGCCCGTCACAAAAGTATCTGCAGTTCGGAAAACTCGATGGGTCTTGGCCTGATGGAGTGGACTTCCCTGGAATTGGCCTACAGCCTGGCCCGCTTTCAAGTCGCACCGAACGAGAGATCAAAGGCAAAATCGACGAAGTCGGACTAAAGCTTGAGAGTCACACTTGAAGTCCAAGAACTAGTACCTCAATACTTCAAATTATACTATTTAGAATTAATAAACTTTTGAAATTCTTACACATTTTTCCTGGAAATGCAAGTAGGTTTGACATTTGCTATAAAATTAACTTCCACAACCCTGTTCCGAATAATATTTTAATGCCTGCGAATCAAACCGATTATAAGCTGCAAAATGTCAAAGCCTTAAATTGTTGTTAGTCACACTCGTATTGTTAGGATACATCCCGAGTTCTCTTTTTATATCGGTCGAATCTCCACGTAAAATGGGTTGGATACTGGAACTGTTGCTTTTCGTTTGTGCAGGCGTTCTAGCTACTAAAAAGGATGGTGATAATTCCAATAGCATTGTATTAAAAGGCAGAGTTATATCGATGAACATCTCCACATCGGGCTTACACGATGCAGTGGGAGATACTCTAGTACCAGGACCGGGATTCCTTCAGGAAATCAAAGTCGGCAATATTCCAAATCTCAAAGGTCCGCTATTGCCGGCTCTTGGTAAGGATGTTGTCATTACGAGCGAGAGCACGCATTCGAAAAACGGTGAGAAGAATACTATTAACTCCAGAATCCAATCGGTGACGAATAAGCCCAGATTGAATCTGCGTGATTTATTGAAATCTCCACCTCTAAACAAGTTAGTTGTGTCAAAACAAAAGAAAATTTGCGCCTAAAACCAATTTTTTATACATAGATTCAAAGTGTCCCCTAAATCGGCGTCAGGATGAATGAATGAATAAGCCTGGAGTCAAATAAAATTGGCGCCAGTGATCAATCTACGTCCATTTTTAAAGTTTGATGCAGTCCCAGAGTATTTAGACAAAATGTATTTTTTAATAAATGCATTCTAGGTCTTAATCCAAATATGAAATCAATAAAAGCTTATATCAAGCATAATACTTTTTCTTATGTTATCTAACATGTTAAATTTAAAGTGCGAATAAATGTAAAACTCTGGAAAATCACACTGACAGACATGACTTACTACTAACTTCTTGTATAAATCATTTCAAGAATGATTTCATCAAAAGCTGTAGTCGAACTGACCGCTAGATTCTGAGAAGCACCACTAAGTGGCAATTTCATGGGGCAAATTGGTTCGAGAGATGCAGAATTCTTGAAACTCACCTCGTTTTGATTTGTCGGTGTGTGCCAATTAGCCCGTTACGTTGCCAATTGGAATGTTCACTTGACTTTGCCGTGTGTTCAATGCGGTTTTTATGGCCAATGTTGTGGATGCTGCAGATGCTGCAGATGTTGCTGTTGTCCTTTCACACGGCGACAACGCGGCGTAGACGTAATCCACAACTTGAGCACCGTTTAGTGGTAGGTTTAGTTGCTGTTGCTGTGTTGCAAGGATAACGGTAATTAACCCGTCGGGGTCGCCTGGCCGCAATTGCATGCCAGTCGTTGGGTTATTGGCCGCCACCGAGCCGCTCGCTTGACACTTTTCAAACTTTTTCTCTTAGTTGGGCAGCCTTTTTTTTTGAATCGCACACTCGGCTAAGATACATATGTATATATATTTATATGTACAAGATACACACACACATACACACACACTGGGACACACTTCACTATGCGCTAATTTTTTTTATTCCGCGGCTGCATTTGCTTGCCTTTTACACTTTTTGCCTGGGTCCGCGTTGTAAATCTTAGCGCGTTGTTTTTAAAGAAAATTCCAAAGACGACGACAACGGCAGCCGTGTTGTTCTGTATGTGTTTTTCCTTGCTTTTTTTTTGTTAACTTGGTTGATTTTTTTTTTGCCGGGTCTGGCGCTCCGGCGGCAGCTCTTCCGCAGAAACAAGCTTCCAAGCAGGTTGACCAAGACCAAGACCAATACCAGTGCCAATAGCAATACCCAGATGCAGCAAGGAGTTCGAGGTGGAGGTGAAGGTGGTTGCTGCACAAGTTGCAGCTGAAGAAGTTGCAAGTTGCAGGGGCGCGGCTGCGGCTACAATCTGCAATCTGTTTGTGGCATTAAATCAGTGAACCAAGACGCTCTGCGGCCAGATTTGTTTATGCCTCCTCACTGGTTATGCAAATTTGTACTACAGCTGTACGTACAGCTCAATTAACGCGGCATTCTTGGGGATTCTCGAACTGCCGATCGCGCATTGATCACCATTTCGCACACTAAAATCACTGAAAGAGCCGCGTTTCTATCATATATCATATGGTATAATATAAACCTGGGTTGGAGATAACTTGAGACTAAATGTTGCTGGAGTGCTTTCTATGTTGCTGTTGAGTTGCCAATGTTGCGAGTTGCTGGGTTCTGATGTTTTTGTGTGGGGTAATCGTCGTCCGCGGCCCGCTGACTTTTCGGCTGGCAACGTTTCGAACCGGTCTCAAGTACATACTGAACGGCACGCACTGGGAACAGGTCCGTCGAGGCCCGTGGAACATGGGCGGAACGCCACGGAATCGGTCCACTCAATGGGTTCCCACATACCACTCGGGTCTTGAGTGAAACTCGGGCGTAAAGCCACTCCGTTTCGGAGTTCTTTTAGGAGCAAGTCGGTCAGGTGTTTAAGCCGCTGCCGCAGTTGCGTCCGCATCTAATTGTGAATGATTTATGTGGGTCGTCGTCCCCCACCGGGCGGCACCACCAGCAGCTAGGAGCACCACTTTACCACTGCACCACCGGCCGAAAGCACTCGTTTGGCCCAAAGAAAGTGCCATAAGCCGCTGCCGATGGAATGGTGCAGGCTTTTCTTTTACCGACGATGCAGCTCGCACAATTGAAATGCATATTCAGATTGCCAAAAGGTGGGATCGGAAGAGATTGGGAGGGTTTAAGTGGGGAGGAGTGCGCCTGCAGCACGGAGAGAAAACTAAAGGTCCTCTGATCTGATTAATAAATATTGTATATTTACCCAGTTTTAACTTATTGGAATAAAATTCTATAAATATTTGTTAATATTGCTTTTTATATATCAGATCCCTTATGTTGTTTTACATCTTATAACTTATATTCGTATTTAAAAATATCTGATTATACCAGAAATTAATAATGGGTCTTTACCCAATCTTATCTTATTGAAATTAAATTAATATGTCGTAAATGTATTATTAAATAACAGAAACCTAATACTATTCTACTTCTTATAACTAATATTTTTATTTTATAGTACTGTACATCTTGTACGAAGTACAACAATCCAATACTGATAACATTACTTAATCATTAGATTTACATCAAAATATACCTAAAAAGTTATTTATAAGCCCTGTAATTCCACAATTCTCATTAGGTTACAATCTCAAAACCAATCATTACATAATACATTATGTGCGCCTGAAGTTTGTAATCAGAGCTCTGCTTTCCAAGCTCGAAATTGCAGTCCTTAAGTACAAAATCCTCAATTTATTTTCTCTGTGATTCGAGCTGAAAACAGTTGCCATTCAGTGGGTTTAATCCTGGCCAGGTCGTTGGCTTTAAATTATCAACGGGACAAAGGACACTGCCCAGCTGGCCAACTCCCAACTGGCGGTGGCCACTGGCCATAACTAAAATCGCCAGCACATTAACGGTTCGTGCTGATGGGGATGGTGATGGTGAAGGTGACTCAGGCGGCGAGGTCAGACAGGTCTGCTCTGATCCGATCCCTTTTGGGGGAGGAAAAGCACCTGCTTTATTATGCAAAAGTTTGCCGGCTCCGTCAGGTGAGTGTCCGTGGAAAGTTCTGAGTTGCAGAGAAGGGGTGCCAAGGGGCGATGCGTGTGCAGTCAAAGTTGAAGGCGGGTCGAGGTTCGGACTCTACTTAAAACTTAACTGGCAAAAAAACGTGCCTCAAAGCCAGGGGAATCAAGGCAGATAAAGGCTGAAAAAAGCACTTAGTTCTTGCTTTTATCAGTAATTAAACTTAATATCATTAGGTGTTTTTATCAGGAGAAAATATGGCAGGTAAGGCATGCAAATGGAACTTTTAATGGGAATGCTCCAGTCAGCTATTTAAGCACTCCATGTTGCAAAGTTGATATTAATTAAGAGAAGCTTTTCAGAGAAAATAATAGTCTCATCAAAGGTTTGTAAAATAATAACTTCAGATAGCACCTGCATATTTTATACAACAAAAATCTAAATTCAAAATATTTAATTGCCTAAAAAGTTCTGTCATTTAACTAAAAATAATAAAAGCAGCCTTAAAACATGTTTTAATCACGTAGAAATGCTTTAAAAAATAAATTTAATCAGGCCTTCAGACCTTCAGGCCTTTCCTGAGATGTGAATGCTTTGAAAATATGCATTAAAAGTCAAACTTAATATAGTTAGCCTTCTTCAGCCATTCGCTCCACCTAATGTCTTGCGACTGCTCAACTAATTCAAGATGGACAGGGCCGACACTCAGCTGGGCCATCGCGCTAGACAAGTTCGATGCCTTGGATGGGCATCCGAGTGGGCCAGGCCCACCTCCTCCTGCTCCTCCTCCACCTCCATATCGACAAAGACTCCTCTGACAGCCAGAAGACGTCGTCGCCGAGTCAGGGATTCGATTCTGGGATGACGAGGCCGCGATACATTGCCCGCCAGAGAGCCTTTCGAATGATTTATGAGAAATGCTTGGAGTCTGCGTCTCCGAAGACGGAGCGCCAAGCCAAGACAAACAATTGACATTTGATGGATGCGTAACTCGTGCATTCAAATGCAACTAGCTGAAAGTTGAGGAGGGGCTCCACAGGACCTGGGGAAACGTATATTTGACAGGCCGGCGGAGAGGCGTCGGCTAATTGTTATTGATAATCGCATTGGCTGTTATGTCTCTGTTTTGTTTCAGGCCAACAGCCGCAACAGCCGTCGATTAATTAGTCAATTAATGGACATGATTTTGTAGAGCAGCCAGCCGGGGGACAGCCGCATCCAATGCCATTCAGTTGCGGTCTCCTCCTGGGCCGATCCGCTAATCAGATCCCTCGGCCGGCTTCCACACGAAGACCTTTTGCTCCCGGGTGAATTATGCCCGGGCAAACTCATTGTCTGCTGGCTGAAAATCTGGAAATCACGGCTCCATCCTGCGCCTGCCTAACTGCAAACAAACTTCTCTATTATTGATTTATACCTTTCAACGATTCTCTGTATTTATCATGAGTGCAAGCCACATTTATCATTAATAATGCCGCGCCAGCTCTCCACGAGCAGCGGCGGAATCGGAATCTGCGGCAGCGGCAGCAGCTCCAGACGCAAAGTGGTAGCCCAAACGGGCGGCAGGAGCGGGATCGGGATCGGGATCGGTGGCAGGGAGCAGGGAGCAGGAGTCGGGAGACAGGAGGCGGGCGGAGATGCCCCAAGCATCCGCATCTAGGCAGCTGCCAGACCCTGGGCAGGAACAGTGGCTGGAAGTGGGTTGAAACCTTTTAAGAATTACATAAGAGTACTTTCTTTGTTTTACCAAAAAATGTAAATTTAAATAAGTTCAAATAAGTAACAAAAATTAATTCAAATGGGTTTTAAAGTTAGGTTTAAGATTAAAATAATTTGTATGAGATCATTGTTGCCTTTCTATAATTACAATTTATTTCCCCTAATATATTTACTATACTTATGTTTTAATTTATTATACATTACATTATAAAATATTATAGCTTTTTAAAGGTTACATTTTCGGTTTCAACTTAAAGTGAAAGTTAGCTTTTCAAATTATCTAGAATTTTAGCTTGTAATCTGAAAAGATTTTGGTATAACTAATTAATTTTGACCCTAGACTTATCTATTTTTAAACTTTTTAATACCAGTTTTCTTGCAAATATGTCTGCACTGGTATCTATTTAAGTCATTTAAAAATAAATATTCATTTATTATCCTTTTATGTATAATCTCAAAGAATATCTTAAATATTTATAGAATATATGTAAATATCGACAAGTTAATAAATTGTATTAGGCTCTATTATTG